ATAAGTTAAACTCATTAATAAATTATTGTGTAGTACTATTATGTTATTTTTGTGAGGGTGATATTTCCTTTGTTAATTATCCTTCAAGACGTTGTATGTTGTAATATTAGTCCCCGTTTTTGGTTATTATTTTTACTCTTTAAATCGTGTTATTGCGTTGTTAACTTCTTCTTTTTTTTAAAAACAACAACTAACGTGGAGCACTCAAATTTTGGAGAATTTTAGTAGCTAAGTTGATTTCCTATTTGAACTTTCACCTTTTCTGCGGGGACGACAACGGGGCGAATGTGGGGTGAGGTGATTTTAAGGTTGTGCGGGACATGTTGAAATAATTTTTTTTAAATTAATACGGGGCAAGTTGCGGGTCTATGCGGTTTTATACGGGTTCAAACTTAATTTAAACTTTTTACATGTTATAAGAGTGATAGAGCACCTTTCACAAGTAAGAATACACAAAATGACAAATTCATTACTCCCTCCGTCCCATTTTATGTGAGGTAGTTTGACTCAGCACAGAGTTTAAGAAAGAAAGGAAGACTTTTAAAACTTGTGGTCCAAAATGAATGATAGAAATTTGTGTAGCTGTAAATCATTTCATTAAGGGTAAAATAGACATTTTATAGTTAAATTGTTACTTAATATAGAAAATGTGTTATTCTTTTTGAGACTGACTAAAAAGGAAAGTGGTTCTCGTGAAGTATAAGTGTGTAGTTGGTAATCTGGTAATAGATTAAGGGGGTATTTGGCTATTTTCTCCTAAGTAAAATATTGAAGATATTAAATGAAAATAGTTCAATCAAAACTAATACAGTTTCTTACATGCTTTTTAATTGACCTCTAAAAAAAATCAAGTCACTATTTATTAAGTTAATACAACTTAATGAGAGTAATAAATTTATTTTTATGAATTTTATTTTTTGTGTCAAACTTAATCAAAAAGGAAAAATATTGAAACAATTATGCGGGGTAAGGTGGGTCGGATTGAAAATTAAAAAAAATTGTCATGCGAGGTAAAGCGGAGAGGAAAATTTATCGGACGTGGTATACAAAATATAAATTTAGAAAAATAAATATTTTTTTTATTTCACTCTCTCAAAAAGAGATGTGAGCCATGGAAACAACGTGTGTTGAATGGATACATTTTCAATTAATGATGCCATATACGTATTCAAGCAATTTAATGTATAGACATGAAAAGTTGAAGTTGAATCAACAATTTTAGTGCTTATCCTCAAATTTCTGAATAATTAAATCTAATATTATTGACATGAATTTCTTTTGTGCCATTAATAAATCTTTTAAATATATCTAGCTGATTTGAGCTCTAAGATATTTTTCATGTAAAATTATTATAGGGACACATTTCCCCCTCAAAAAATATAAAAAAATTATATATGAAAATGAAGATAGTGAAAACTGAAATGACGCAGAAAAGTAAAATTAATTTACCATTTGATTAATTCTATAAAATTAATAAGTTTGAAAGTTAATAAAACTTAAATATAATGAATTCCCCTTCCAAATCCTTAGTAGTGGTTAAATTTAATTTTTTAAATTTTAAGCTAATATCATGAGTAATATGGAGTACTTCATTTCCAAGAAATGTATATATATATATATATAACAATTTCATAGGTCGTTAATTGAAATTAATAAATAGAAAAAACCAAAATTAATTCACTCATTCACACACAAACCCACACAAACCCATTCCCATCCAATCAAAAACACACATATATACGCACACCCTATGTGTTCAACAATAGTTGTCCACTATATTAACTTAGCACAGAGATTAAAAAGCAGTAAATGATAGGGTAATTTTATCAAATCACCCTTATTAAATATAAGTTATCTAAACATTGAAAAATAAATACAATATTTAATAGCAATGGTAAAATAGACACAACATGACATTGATTTTATAAACTGAACAAGCATTCAGACTGCTCCATTTAAAAAGCATATTTTACACCTTTGATCGTTCACCTCTAAGGTAAAAAGACAAATCAGATGCACTTTTTGAACGTAAAAAACGTCATTCACTTGATTTGCACACCAGGACGTGTGTGTATATATATATATATATATATATTACTAATCAGAATAATCAAACAAACATAAGTATGAAGTAACTCAATGTTAGAGGCCATAGAGGATCATCTATATTACAAGTAGACATTTCAGTGCCCAGGCATCATGTTTCATCATTGTCAACCCTTCTGGCTATTTTCTCTCCTCACTGATATGCACACCTACACCTCTTTCTATAGCTGAACCAGCATTTTGAAACCTTGACTCGAAGTCAAATGTGACAGAAGATATTCCCTAGCCTCAGGATTTTATCGGAACAAAGCATCATCGGTAATGAGATTAACCCTACGTTTTCAAACCTTCAAGTGCTCTCAGTTTGGTCCCCTACAGAAAAACGGTGTTGGTTCATGCTCAAACCTGAATGTACTGTAACTGTTTTTACTCCTCTGAAATATGATGCAAGGCAGCTTGTCGATCATTACGAGCCTCAGCAGAGTCTGGCTGCAAAACAAATCCGATTTATGGTGCGTAAGTGGTTTACTGAACACGTGAGCATCAATTACAAAGGCAATCAATCTGACACACTTAGCACAATATTCCACTGAACATTTCAGAACTAGGATGTGATAGAAGCAAGATGAATAGAGTTAGACAATTGCTTAAATCTCAAAAGACAGTTTGTCCTCCAGATACAAAGGTAGTAATATTGACCTTTGGTATTGGCGTAATACATTAAAAGCAAAGAATATCCATTTACTCATAAAGGAAACATCTCAGTTAAAAAAGATCCTCAGAAGAAGCAAGCGTGAGCATTAGTTATAAATTTAATCTATACCTTGATGGCTAGTGCTCTGTCTAAGCTTTCTATAGCACTGTCAGGCTCACCATAATTCAGCTGTGCTCTACCAAGGGTGACCCACGCCTGCAACAGACAGAAGAACTAGCAATAAGCACTGGAATAAAGTAGTGTACATTCTAGTGATAGTAGAAATTGACCGTTCCCTAAGAACCAGAAGCTTGCAGTCAACTGCCTTTTAGTCTAAGCTTCATTTTCCAAAGCTGTAAATAGTTTGGATTATGGAAACGGAATAGAAAAAGAGAGTGCCTTTTGCTTGATCATTCCATCAAGCTCTCTAAGCTTAACTATGCACGCAAGTATGACCAGGAAGTTCAAAGTGCAAAGCTGCTTCTATCATGAGGTAGCTTGTCGGTACACCACTAATTACCTATCTTAACCTCTAAAGCCAGTAATTTATTACCAAGTGAAGACATAGAAGCATTGAATTTGCCTAGTCTAGGGAATAGATGCAGGAAGAGGTAGAACAGAAAGGAAGTAACATGCACATTGGGGTGAACAATTAAGGCTGAAATCCAGAGGACTTTGCACATGAAAACTAGCCCATGACACTTATAGCCAGTTGAAGTTTGACAAATTAGTCTTAGAAGTATTGAAACTGAATAGATCACAGATAAAAAATATGTTACATTGTTCATCAGGATCCCCCATGATATTAAGCAAGGATGGTGAGGGTTCCCAATTATTGCAGAGCACTAAGAGTTGCGTTTACATGCCTAAAGCAGGTATATTAACAACAGGTGAAACAATAGTAAAACCGAATGATCAACAGTTTCACACACACCTCACCCCAGCTTGGTTCCAACTCAGTTGCACCTGCTCAAACAGGAAGCAGGTTACATATGAGTCATGAAATATATCATCTGAAGTTATTTTATACACAAACACAGATCAATGACTTAAGAGGACATTAGTGACCATGAAAGTAGGCTAAAATCCATCTTTGAATATCTATATGCCAAGAGGGCATTAGTGACCATGAAAGTAGGCTAAAATCCATCTTTGAATATCTATATGCCAGATATAGATTTACAACAGGAAGAATGTGGAAAAGAAAAATCTTCCAATGCCAAGGAAAAGATAAGTAAAAAATAAACTTAGTCTTGCTCTAGGTTCCCACATTTGGCTGTTATCAAGATCATATTTGAAATGATATATTTGCCAGATTTGTCCATAACCTTAAAGATGAGTCAAAAGTAGGCACTAAGAAGCTTCAGAGCCTAAAAGTAGGTGCATAACCTTTAATGAGATATAGCATTGAAAATAAATCCAAGTAAAATATGTTTGTGAATTGACATTATCTCAGCATAATTTGCTCAGGAAATGAGGAGAATTTCATTCGAATTAATGTGAGTATCAAAACATACGAGTAGCAGCTTGTAGCGCCTTCCATGTCTCTCCAAGTTCAAGCAAAATTTGAGCCTTCTGTTCATGCAGAATGGCACGATCTGGCATCAAAAGCAGAGCAGATTCCCACTTCCCAAGTGCTTCACGATATTTCCCTTCCTTCAAAAATAAAAAAATAAAAATGAAAAGAAGAGAGACTTAACCCCAGCTGCTGGATCATGCTGTTGGAATTTGGAAATGATAGCAACAATCAATGAAGTGTTCGAAATCACTCATCCAAAAAAATATTCCTCGAGGACTCAATGAGGGTTTGAATGACCAAACGTGGTAAGAGTCTCACACCCTTATCCAGAGGTAAAAAGGATCCTTGCAAGATAGATATTGAGGTTTGAAAAAGAGGTCATGTGTGCATAGCCTCACTCTCTGAACCGCAACCAGGCTATCTACAAGAGAACTTCTGACATCCACTCACCTCAACATATACGTTTTTTCTTGAAACTTGTAATGTTATATTCCTCAGCATTTAGGATACGTTGGAGACCTCCAAAAAAGGTTCTCACCTCAACATATACTTACTCACCAATGTGTTGAATCTCACCTTTAATTGTTAGTGCAACTTTTGGTACTAAAAATCTGTACATAGCCTTAACTTTTTATTCTATGCGGAGGCTATTTTTAAAACTTTCTTCAACTTCAGAGCCACCATAAAATAAAGTTAGCATTGTGTTTAGCCTCAGCTATTAGTATTAATGCAAAATGTAGTACAACCTTACCATTATACAAGCAACTGTATTAAGACTTACTTTCTGCAGTAGATTTACCATTGTGCTTTTGCAAAATATACTTCATATTGAGGTCATTTCACACTCAACTTACCATCGCGCTAAAGTTCATCTTTAAGATAAAAGTATTAGTGAAAGACCACTTATATCCCCTTCCTCCTCAACAAATGTGTGACAAGCAGCTGTGTATATTCTTACTTTCTACATTACAAAGAGGCTAGTTTCAAGACTCAACTCTTCACTTTAGTTCACCCTCTTATAGTTAACTTACTGAACGTTGATGTCCAGTTATAAGTGATGGTGCAAACTGCAGTACAACCATTTGGCAAATAGCCTTCCTATTTCACATAGCAAGGCAACTGTTTGAAAGACTGAACTTTTGACCTCCAACTCTAAGGGTTTCTAAGGGTTTGTTTGGTTCGCAAAATAAGTTATACGCAGGATTATAATGTGGGGATTATAGTGTATATATATATACTTCTTTTTGTAGATGTTTGATTAACTGAATTAAAAATGAAATATACAGAGCATAATATAAAACATGTACTTGATTTTACAATAGACAACGATTATCTCAGGCTAACCGGAATACCAATTTAATTCTCAGATACTCAAGTATGTCCAAAAAGTAAATGAAGGCTAAATAAGAATGATAAACAACTTAGAACTATTGAAATTACTAATACTCCTTTATTATAACACTAGAAAAAACCTCATCACTAACATAAGATAATCTTTACTTCATTTCCAACTAATCAATAAAGATAAACAATAGCAAGTGATAACCATACCATCTAACAGCAATTTGCTAAAGCTAATCTCAATCTATATTTCAGAATTTGTTTAAAAATTTCACATCTTTAACACCAGGACACATAAACGAATTGAAAAAATAATAATTTAAGGAGATTTGGCCCACACGCTTAAATAGGTTATAGGAGACATCCTAATTAATCCACCCACCCACACAAACTAGTAGCTATGTTGATTTGTAGTACTTTTCGTGTAATTATTAAATTTATAAATTTTATTTTAAAGTACTTATAGAGTCTTTACTCGAATTCATAATCAAATCAAATATGTTAACCCTCATACTAACTCTGAACCCCTTCACATAAAATTGAAGCAGAAGAGTATTAAATAATTAGATTATAATTAAAATTGGGGTGATTACCACATCTATAAGAACTCGCACAATTTAATAACACAAAACTTAGAAATATAAATATACGAACTCCAAAACAACACACACACACAATTATAAGATTATAATTATAAATCAATAGTTTCATGGCCATTAGCGCAACTCACACTTTTTAATAACACAAGACTTAGAGATATAAATAAATATGAATTACAAACACACACACATAAACACACACAATCACACATTCCATGCACGAAATAACAACAATGTTCTCAAAATGTTACATGAGCCAACTTAGAAATTGATGAAGAAGTTACATGAAAACATTAAGAAGAATACCATAAATAAAGCCTAAACTCCTATAAATACCTAAGCACATGAACTCCTCAAAGCATCACAAGTTAAAGCAACAAACAATAATACACTATACTCCCTCATATTTAATTAATTATTTATTTGTAAGAGAAGAGATATGGAGAATAATGGAAAGGGCAAAGTAGGCACATCAAACAATGGAAGTGTGTTTCCAAAGAAAGATAAGAAATCAGTGAAGAAAATGGCTTTTGAAAAGATAGGTAAAACTGTGGTGTCCACTTTCAAGAATGATAAGAAGAAGATTAACCCCTCTGATGGCACATCTTAGTCCCCTTACTATAATCAACTTGCTTTTAAGATTGTGCTAATATTATTGAATAATGTATTTATTTGATTCTAATGTATTTCGAGGGTTTAACTTATATACATCTCCAGTATTGTAAAGAATAATGTTTACATTGTTTATCTTCTTTATTATATTGTTGATGTATATAAATTAAACTCATTTAATAAACTATGGTGTAGTATTTTGTTTTTCTATGAGAGTGATATTTCCTTTATTAATTAAAACATTTAAGCATGTTGTAAGTTGTAACACGAGTTTTCGTTTCCGTTTCCATTTGTTAATTTCCCTCTTCAATAGTGTAATTTCATTGTTAATTTCTAAATATAAACTAAAGTGAAGTGCTCGAATTTTGAGAAATCTTAATAGTTCAATTAGTTGGTTCAATTTTCTGCCTTGTAATCCCTTTCCCAATTTTTCTTTTCTAAAAAATATACTCAAATTTTCATTTTAATAAGAGGTGAAAATTTAGATAAATATTGAAATCGCAATCGTATAACGCCAAAGGGCTGTAACGATCACGCTAAGCAAACCAACTATCTTATTTATGCTTCTATTCATACAATAACACAATATTAATACAACTTTAAGTTGTCTTTATTTTATGAAAGTAAAGAGATTGTTTAATTTTTGATAGAGCATTACCTCAAGTAAAACATATATATAAAAAAATAAGAATGGAAAGAAAATACAGTGGATATAAAAAATAAAGGAGAAGAGAATAGCAGCAGCAAAAAATAATTTGATAACCGAAGCAAATGAAATAATCAATTATAATAAAATTGAAGAATAAGATACACTACAAAAAAAGTGTGAATTACATGGGATTTTCTTGGGGATTAGTATGAAAATTCGCAGGAAACTTATTTTCCTGCAAATTTTCATACTAATTCCCAGGAAAATCCCCATTTAATTCATAGTTTTCTTGTAGTGATAGTAGAATAATGATAAGAGATACTCCCTCTGTCTCATATTAGATGAGCACTTTCTATTTTACGTGGTAATTAAGAAATCATTATTATATTGATTAATTTTACTTTGTTCATATTAATTACCCTCTTGAACGTCGACTCCGAAATGAAGCTCCCGAGAGGATAAGAGAAGAAAAGAACCAATGACATCATCCCACGCCAAAAGAAATTCTTGAGTCTTTAAAGTTTGTTTAAACTTTCAACGACCATACTAATTATAGGGGTAAAATAAGAAAAAAATAATTAATTTTATCCTAATTTAGTAAGTGATCGAGTAATCTGAGACAAATATTTTTAATAAGATGTTTATTTAATATGAAATGGAGGGGGTATATGTTTTCAAGAAACACAAATAATTAATCCACAAAATTTACTTTACGGGTAATGCTAAATGACTAGAGAATTTGGCCAGAAATTTAAAAAGTCTATAAAATATCTTTTTTATTTTAAAATAAACTAATCTTTTTTCTATTTTTTAATTAAAAGGTATTAAAGTTAAAATGGTAAAAATGTTCAAAAAGATAAAATAACATAGTGTAAAATATATTATTTTATCACTCTGGCGAAATTCTGGCCAAAAGAATTTTTCCATTACAATTAAATCCCCTTTACACCTTACAAACACAAAAATACAAACAAATATGAGAACACGGTAAAGGAAATGAACACAACAAGATTTGAGAAGATTTTGGCCCACACGCTTATTACATTAATAAAATCCTTTACGTATTATTTAGAGTATGTGTTATAATATGTTTCTTTGATTTGAGGTCGAGATGTTTTTTCATGTAAATATTATGGTAGGGACATTTTTCCGTTATGTAAATTACTATCTACATATCTTATTATGAGTCAAATTTAATAGGAGTCATCTTAATTAATCCACACACCCACGCTAACCCACAAATTACCCACTCCTCCTCCAATACACACACAAATGACACAACCCGTGCAACAATATGAGTTTCTCAAACTTTTGAAAATATTAGCAGTTATGTTGACTCGTAGAATATTTCGTGTAGTTTTTAAATTTTATTTTAAAATGTTTGAACAGTTTATATCTGAATTTCTTAATAAGAAAATTAAAGTTGTTGACCGTCATATTCTGAACCTCTTCATATAAATTGAGGCAGAAAGAATTTCAAATATGAGCTCACACTTGTTAATAACATAAGATATGAGATATAAATAAATTAAATATGAATTCCACACACACAAACACATTCCATATTGCACGAAACATACAACAATGTGCTTAAAATCTTACATGAGCCAACTTAGAAATTCATGAAGAAGTTACATGAAAACATTGTGAAGAATACCATAAACAAAGCCTAAACTCCTATAAATACCTCAACATATATATGAACTCCTCAAAGCATCAAAAGTTAAAGCAACAAAGCAATAATACACTACACTTGCTCATATTCATAATTAATTTTATTTTAAGAGAAGAGAAGAGATATGGAGAATAATGGAAAGAGCAAAGTAGGCACATCAAAGAATATTGGAAGTGTGTTTCCAAAGAAAGATAAGAAGTCAGTGAAGAAAATGGTTGTTGAAAAGCTAGGCAAAGCTGTGGTGTCCACTTTCAAGAATGATAAGAAAAAGATTAACCCCTCTGATGGCACCTCCTCTTAGTAGTAATGAACTTGCCTTTTGGATTATGCAAATATTATTGAATAAAATAGTATTTATTTGATTATGAAGTTTTTGAGGGTTTAACTATATACATCGCCAGTATTATAAAAAAGGCTTACACTATTTACCTGATTCGGTCTTTACAATACTATAAGTCTGTAACTACATATGGTGTAGTATTTTGTTTTTCAATGAGAGTGATTTTTCCTTTATTAATTAACCTTAAAGAATGTTCTAAACTGTAACATGAGTCTTCGTTTCCGTTTGTTAGTTTTCCTCTATAGTGCTATTCCGTTGTTAATTTCTCAACTCAAATTTCGAAGACTCTTATTACATACGTATTCAGTTGATTGGTGATTGACTATCTGAACTTCCACTTGAGGTTCGATTTTCCATCCTTAATTATAATCCTTCCCTCATTTCTTCTTCCTCATTCCCTATCCTCGTTATTTTTTAGTTTAAAAAAAAGAGTACTCGAATTATTATTTTAATATGAGGTGAGCATTTTAAAGATAAATATTGAAATAACTATATCCTATAACGCTGAAGGGTCTCCACCCCGACTTGACCCCAATACCAACCCGAGACATGATCCTAGCCCCAATCCTCTATACTGACTCCATCCCACTGTAGAACTTGATTCTCTACTTGACCCTAGCCTAACTCTAGCCCAGGATTTGAACACCGACCCCAACCTCGACCCGACACCCAATGACGTTGATGTTAACATCGACTTGAGACCTATCCCCGATCTTGATCCCAGATTGAACCAATAATGATAAAATTGAAAAATATGTAACTTCATACCAAACACACCCGTTCTCTTAATCTTACCTGAACTAACTTAGAAATTCAACCAGAAATTACATATATTGTTAATTTTAGAAGATATTCTATGTATTAAGCATTATAAAGTTTTCAAGCAAAAGGTATAGACATGAAAAATTGAAGTTGAAATTAATAATTTGAGTGCGCTTATCCCTGAATTTGCAAAGTCATTAAATCTTATATTACTTACGTATTAATTTCTTTGTGCCATTCATATATATTTTAAAACACATCTAGCTAGCTAGCTGATTATTTGAGATTTAAGATACTTTTCTAGGTAAGATTATGAAAGGGACATGCTTCCTATAAAAAAAAAATTACGATGCGCTAGTAATGAAGATAGTGAAATTACATGGAAAAATAAAATCAATTTTCTCTTTAATTGGTTAAGTATCTTTTAAATAAATTGACCATTTCCTAGAAATGTCTAACAAATTATATAAAAGTCATCCTGATTAATCTACAAATCCACACAAACCTATTACCCCAACAACACACACACAACCATGCAATATAAATAAATAAACTATATAGAAAATTAGTTTTCAGTAATTTAAATTGGCATGAAAATTAATTTCCTAGCTCATCCACACACAATTTCTTAATAACACACATGGCTTCACATTAAAATTACCAATCCGAAATCACACATCCACATAAACATATATTCCAAGCAAGAGTTTTAAAAATAAAATAATAATTAGTTTTCTGTAATTTAGCTTGAACAATATAACTACGTAGTTTCTTGAGAAGAATTGACATTGGGGACACTTTTATAACTTAATTTACTCTATACCCACTTAAGTTATTTTTGCTTTATTTTCTAGGATTGGGCTTTTAAAAAAGAAAAAAGTGTGGGGTCATGGGTCTCTTTGACCTTTTTAAAAGTTGGGGTATATTTGTGAATTTGGGGTCGAGGGCTTTTTTTTGGGAATGTGGGGTCAAGGGCTTTTTTTTTTTAAAAAAAAAAAAAAGCTTGGGGAAAAGATATAACTTTACAAGAATATATTATAATCCCTATACATTTTAAAAAATATTATTATTTGATGAAAATCGAGGCAAATATTTTCTGAATCTCTGTTTGTTTCTGTTCCGACGTTTCTTCTTCTCCAAGTGCAAGACTTTTCATCTTTCAAGAACATCTTCTATTCTTGAAAGATGAAATCAGTATAATTAACCATTTCACCCACTTCTCTTCCATTAACTTATTCAATCATTTCATCGTCCTATACCCCTCTCAAATCTTCATTTGTTTTATTCAATCTTCTTCCTCAAGTTCAAAGCTTTCATCTTTGGTAAGTTGAATCTTCTGTAATGGTGTTTTTCAGTAATTTTTAGCCGTATTTGGTTGTTTATTTTGTTGTAGTAGTGTAGTGATTTAATGACTCCTTTTTCAAGACTGTTTTTCTTCATGTTCTTGTTTCGGATGAAATTTTTTCGCCGTATTCCATGAATATTTGTGGTCTCTAATGACGTTTTTGTTTGGATATAAATATTTTGACCCTATTTGGTTTCTATTTTTTTTTAAAAATTGTTAAGAAGTCCCACATCAGTAGAGAGATGGGAATTTGGTCTCTTTATATGGACTTGGACAAACGTCCGCTCATGAGCTAGCTTTTGGAGTTGAGTTAGGTCCAGGTGTCATATCTTTACATGGTATCAGAGCCAGACCTATCCCAATTTATTGTTCACCGATGTTGGGCCCCCATTTAGAAGTGTTCACGCTTCAGTTGAGGTCTGGGCGTGCGGGGAGTGTTAAGAAGTCCCACATCGGTAGAGGGATGAAAATTTGGTCTCCTTATATGGACTTGGACAAACCTCTCCTTTTGAGCTAGCTTTTGGTGTTGAGTTAGGCTCATGTGCCATATCTTTACAAAAAATTTATATTTATCTCACCTATTGATTTTGAAATTTTTACTAAACTTTGATCGACTTTAGTGGCATTTCTATCAATCGCAATATTGTTGATTTTTGTTGGATCTGCTATTTATTTTGCATGTTTTATTTTAGGTTTTCTCTGGTTACGTTAACAACTAGTGGTCGATAAATATGTTTTTGCTTGTAGATTATAAAGTATGGCTAAAACTAGAGGTGGAAGCACTAAATCATATGCTCTTGTTGCTCTTTGAAGTTAGAAACGAAAGGTTGAAGAAGTTTTGAAAACTTGTAAAAACCTCCCTAATACTAACAACACACCCAGCTTGCCTTATCATGGAGTTCCTTAGAAGATATAGAGTTACTACTAATATGAAAAAAGAAGGGGAACAAGGAAGAAGAAAACAGAGAGAAGGAAGAGAAAGAGTAAGTGACAAAGAAATAGAGATTTAGAGAGACAATGATGGGAAGAAGGGAGTAAAAAGGTTGGACGACAATGCACCCAAGGGTGTCGCTAAGTAGTTTAGGAGCCAACGGAGATCATGGTATATGCGAATTTAATGAAACTGAGGCAAAAAGTTTGGTGATTCCTTTCCATTTGCTTAAACCTTGATGAACAACATTATTATGTATGGATGTAAGGATCAGTCCAATACTTGAAATACATGAACATTAGTCCAAACACCACTATTACCTCAGGCTAACCAGAATACCAACTTAATTCCTAAATACTCAAGTAAATGAAGGCTAAATAAGAATGATAAACAACTTAGAACTATTGAAATTACTAATACTCCTTTAGAACAACACTAGAAAAAACATAAGATAATCTTTTACTTTATTTCCAACTAATAAATATAGATAAACAATATCAAATGACTATCTAACAACAATTTGCTAAAACTAATCAACAATCTATTTTTAAAAAAAATTTATGCTCATATAATAGAAAGAACAAACAACAATTGTAAATTATACACAGTGAATAACCTCATCCAGATTGAAAAGGAGAAAAATTAGATAAAATACAGAAAAAATAAGAGGAACCCATGTGAGGAAATACCTCAACAAGCTTATTTCCTTGTTGTTGACAGGACTCAACAAGCTTGATTGTATCGTTATCATCATCATCTCCATTAACATTAGAAATCTCTTCATTTTTAGGAAGTTTTTCCTCGGGAAAAGTGGAATCGTCAGTAGGATCGAAATGGAGGTTTTCGAATTGGGAAATAGGTCTCTTGTTGGGGTCCTTCTTGCTCTGATTCTTCCATGTCATCTTCATCTTCTTCTTCGAGCTGTTTCACTATTTTGGTTGCCAGCTAAATCAAAAGGTTAATTTCAATGTATGCTCAAACAAATTTTATCTCTATTGCAAAAAGGTCACAAATATTACTCCCTTAGACCATCTCCAACCCACCTCTATTTTACTCTCCATTCTCTATATTTGAAGAGTAAAATAGAGAATGGGCACTCCAACCCACCTCCATATCACTCTCTATTCTTCAAATTTAGAGAGTTGGAGAACTACTATTTACACTCTCTAGAGAAAATTGAAGAAAAGATATCCTTTAAGTTTTGAATTAACTATTGATAACTATTTTGACCAAGAAAAGGTCAAACACACTTAAATATTAAATTAAGTTAATTGTGGACTCAATAAACATTTTCAACAACTTATAATATTTTTAAAAATACAAAACAATCCACCCACTAAATAAACAAACTTTCCACTCCCTCTCTCAAACGTTCTCATCTCTCTCTCTCTACAGAAAACGTTTAAAAATTCCAAATTGCTTCGATTGGGACAATCAATTTCTCTGGCAACTTTGAACTTCCGACGACCGTACTTTGAACTTCCGATTCTTCTATTCTAACTATCCAAGGGAACAACGATTTGCAGGTAATGCTTTATTTTTTTGAAAAAAATTAGGGCTTTTTAGTTTTTTTTTTTGAATGAAATACTGCTAAGAGACTATTCTGAGGGAGGTTACAATTTGCATATACTCTTCCCTCAAGCGCTGCCCAGATTTTGTGCGATTCAGGTTGAGACAATGAAGCTTTTCCTTGTTTATGCTTTAGAAAGTGGACCAACTGATTGTTCTACTTACTTCCTGCATATTTATGTATCTGTTATTACCAAAATTTGGCAAAGTTGGATGATCTAAAAGTTTCATTGATAGTTTATTTTGTTGACTGTGGAGAGTGACTGCCCCTTTTTATTTTTTTAACCACCCATCCCAGGAGGATTAATAGTGTTCTCATGTACCTTCCAACGTGACTCGATTAACCCTCCATCTACATGTTGATGATGAATGTGTTCAACCACTTGTGCAAGCCTCACTTGTCGACTTCCTTTTTCTGTGTCTGAAGATTTTCGATTGAGTTTGTACATGTATGATGTATAGGTTTAACAGAATACCATTTATTGTACATTGTAATATAGACAATTATAGATTTGGGACCATTTCAGCTTTTAGAATAAATCCTTGATCACAAATCTTATTGTCTGCACATTTTTTCCCCTTAATTTATGACTACTGGTGTTCAGAGAAATGAATTAGATTCATGAGATAAGTTAAAAAAAAGGAACCAACTTTTTTCTCTTGGTTTTAATATAACCTGAAAAAAAGTGGAAAAAGTAATTGAACTTAGTAAGGGATACTTTGTTGAGTGATCCAGACATCACTGCTAGAAAAAAGGAAAAAAAAAGGCAAGTTTTGGGAGTTAGTCCTCTTGCTCTAAACAAGATTTTAACTGAAGAGGTGCTAGTTTGCTTTTATGGCTGAAGTAGGTAAAGAATTCAACATGCATTTGTTTGTTGAACCTTGTAATGTCTGGACAATATAAGAATATGAAATGTCCTAGTTCTGGTGATTGGTTGAACTTTCGTATATAGTTTGTTCTGTGTTTCTTTTCATCTTCGACATGTAAATTGTCTCTGGCTTAAGAAACAACAATCATGCCTCAGTTCCAAGCTAGTTAGGGTCAGCTATATGAATCTTCACTGTTAATTGCTATCTTTTTTTGAATGATGCACAAATTGATTGTAATTTTTATTTTTTTTTGTACTTTTAGATAAAATGGCTTCCAAAAGAAAACCAAGTGAATCAGTCTCTGATAAATCAAGTAAAGTAGCTAAAGTACAAACACCATTAGAAGAACTTTTTGAACAAGTTATTTCACATAAATATTATGTGTTACCTTCTGTAGATGTACAGAAACAGAATGAAAATATGGAAATTGTAGAGGAGGAAGATAAAAATAAAAATGAAGAAGAAAAAGAAATAAATGATAAAGATGGCGATAATGAAGAAACTGAAAATGATAAAGAAGATGAGGAGGAAGGTGAAAAAGAAAGTGAGGAAGGAGATGAAGAGGAAGGAGATGAAAATGAAAGTGATGAAGGAGATGATATTGAAAAGTGAGGAAGGAGATGAAGATGTTGTCAAAACTTTTAATATTGACAAGTTTTAGGTAGAGATGCCTATAGATGACCCTACAAATTTGACAGGTGATTTTGTTGTAAAATCAGCCATGGACGCCAAATTTGATGCTTTTAGAACAATATTGATGGATGAAAAGTTGGAGAATTTCTTTAAGTCCAGCTATTTTGGATACTTTCTTGATTTGTCGGAGGTTAACAATGCACGTTTCAAATGAGCATGGTGTATGATATTTTGAAGCGCAGGATCAAGTATAAGGGAGATGATGATGAAGCTTTCGAGAATAAGAACAAGAAAATGGATGAGATTTGAATAAACTACTGTGGCATGTCGATTTGTTTTGGCATGAAAGAATTTGCCATAGTGACTAGACTGAGATGTCATCCTCCTTCTGAACCTCTTCCTAAAGTTACACACTTAAGAAAGTGATGTTTGCGTAATCCAGACAAAACTTCCAATTCTAGTGTCTATGATCGTACAATATTAATATAACCCAACCGAATGGGTTGGGGTCGAATCCCAAGGGAGTGGTTTTGAGAATTAATAGAAAAATAAAATTTAGTTGTAATTAGTCATAGCTATAGACATTATCGAATATAAACATACTAAATCTAAAGGGGGTGACGCAAGCGTCAATTATCAATGGGGGTTTTGTATTAATTAACAACTACAAACAACGAAAATATACGAAAACTAGATAGAGATACGGGATTCTTGGGATGTGATAGGATTACGAGATAAACTAAAATGTCGGGTACATTCTTTTGATAGTAAATTGTTGAGTATTTGTGACTAGGCTAGACTATAGTAGGGGGAAATTCTCTCTCAAGCAACTTACCCCGAATCGACTCGGTTTCTCTCGAACACCAAGTTGCCGCTTTAAGCACAGCCTCCGCCTTAGGCCATTCACTCTCTCGAGCTGAATATGTGGGAAAAGGACTAGGATTCACTCTCTCGAGTTGAACCCATGTCGACCTAATACCACCGGCTATCAATTTAGTAGTCTTAGTTTTATGACCTTTCTCTCTCGCAAGCCGAAAATACTAAGATGAAATTGTACTTGCAACTACAACTCCATTAAGTTCATACACAACTACTAAACAAAATCACATTTAAACAACAAATAAACCATCAACAAGCAAGACCCAATAGATAATCTAACCCATAGTCACAAAATCACACCCCAAGAATTGAGGTTTTAGCTAGACAGGTAAAAGATATAAAAATTTATACCAATATCAGTTTCCATCAATTGGGTATGAAAGATTAAGTCTTAAAACACGTCAAGAGTGAAGAATCTTCGAGACCCAAGTCCAATTTCTTGGAGTTGAAACCATTTGAATCTTTAAGGTCTTAGAACAAAGTTTCCAAAACGCTCTAAAACTTACACTCTCTAAAGACTGTAGAAAGTTCTAAGAATAATAGTGATATGATACTAAGCTAGAAATTTAAACAAGCATTTATAGTGTTTGAAAATGTGTTGCGAAGGACCCTTAGGCAAAGTTAGTCGGGATCGCCGATACATTCGGCGATCCGCCGTTTAATCGATTTCATCGCCTTCCTGCTTTAGCCTTTAGCCTCTTCGCATTTTGAGTCGTTGGGCGATATGGTACTTCTTCGCGAAACTGTTCAGCGACACACCGACTTCTCCATTTCATCGCCAACTTGACCTTTTCCTTTAGGGCTCAGCGTACTGGAACAAAAGGCTATCTCTAGGCCGATCGGTGACTCGCCAACTGGGATCGGCGATCTTCAGGCCTTCATTTCTTCATTCTTTTCAGCCGCCTTGTTCCTTCTTGCCAAGTAGTGTCCATGCTTTGCCTCAAACTACAAATACCTGAAACTTAAGTATTCTCATCAGATATTGAGACAAATATGCATTTGAGGACACTAATTCTATCAAAATATAGCCCTAAATGAGTCCAAACTGTGGACTCATCAACACCCCCAACTTAAACTTTTGCTTGTCCTCAAGCAACTCGAGTTCAACTTTTCAAAAAGGGTGTCTCAAACAGTGCTACATAAGAATCAATCATGAATGCACACAACAAGACTCACTTTACTCATGCAAAGATCAATTATGCACTCAAAGATTCAAGTTGTGACTCACCAATATTGAAGAATCTCATGCTCACAATACTTGCTTCTAATGCAAGTTCAGGCTCAACCAAAGTGTTCAAATGCCCTCACACAAAGAATGATTCCATATTCACACAATGGTTCACAGTTTAAAGCTTCGGAATCATATGCAAAGCCCACACTCACAAAGATGAACACAATGCACAATTTCACCTATAGGTTTTCCTGTATTATCCAATCAACACTTGCTTCAGCTCACTTAAGATCACAAAGGTCTTTCAAGACTTGTAATGGGGCTGAGTGCAAATGTATGGTCATTTAGGCTCAGTGGCTATAGTCCTCATGAAACAAAGGTTGAATAACACTCCCTTTCATCTTCTTTCATCATTCTCATTTATGCTCACAAGTAGTCCTATTATTCAGTTTCCATGGATAGTTGAAAACCCCAATTTTCTTTATACTTTCATAACTTTTTTCCACAACTTTTTCATTCTTTTTCTTTTTCTTTTTTTTTTAATGGAGGGGTTCCATTTTTCACAAAATCATGGATAGAAGGGACTTTTTTTTATTTCTTGATTTGCCTTCTCTTTTTACCACACCCTGATGAGTCCACAAATTGGACTCATTTAGGGCTTTATTTTAATATAAATAGTGTCTTCAAATGCTTATTTAGTCTAAATATCTGATGAAAACACTTACGTTTCATGTATTTGAAGTTTGAAGGAAAGCATGGACACTACTTTGCAAAAAGGAACAAAAAGGCTGAAAAGAACGAGAAAACGAAAACCTAAGGATCACCGAGTCCACTTGGCGATTCGCCGAAGGGACTCACTCTACCTTTTGCTCCAGTACGCGAAGCCCTGAAGGAGAAAGATAAAAAAGGCGATGAAAAGAGCAATCATCGTTGTGCCGATCAGTTTCGCGAAGCAAAAACATGCCGCTCAAAGATCCAGAATGCACAGATGCTGAAGGCAAAGTACAAACGGTGATGAACTTGAAGAAGGGCGAATCGCCGAGTCATTCGACATTCGCTACTAACCTCGCTGAGCGATCCGCCAGCACTATTTTCTGAAGTCTATAAATGTTAAACTCTTCATTAATTTTAAGGGTGGAACGAGAGATTCCGAACATTATTGTAATTTCTATTTTAGCTTTGATATTTTGTCTCTCAAGTTTGGAGAGGGTTTTTGGAGGACATGAAGAAGAAATGAGTTCATCTTCCTCAAACTGGAAGTGGGTCTTCTCCATTCTTCTTCATTTGCTTACATCAAGGTTTAATTTCTTATATCCATTTGATTTTGTTATCATTTTAGGTGTAATTTCTTATTTCTTGATGTGTGGCTAAAACCCCCTATTCTTGGGGTGTGATTTAGCAAATATGAGTTGATATTATTGTTGGGTTTTATTTGCTGATAGGTTAAATGTATTTAAATGGTGATTTCACCTAGCGGTTGTGGTTTAATTTAATGTGTTTTTAGTTGCAAATATAAAACCACTTATGTGTTTTCGGCTTGCTCGAGAGAGAGGTCGCGAAACCAAGATCGCTAGACTGATGGCCTAATGAGTGGGTCGACATGAGGTTCAGCCCGAGAGGGTGAGCCTTAGTCCCATATCCTAACACTTAGTTCGAGAGAGTGAGTGGGGTAAGGCGTAGGCTGACCTTCATGCGGCAAATGGGTGTCCGAAAGGAACCCATTTGAAATGGGGTAAGTTGCCCAAGAGGGAACTTATTTGCATCTAAATCTTAGCCTAATCACTATTATCTTGCAAATTTCCTATCGAAAGCATGTACCCAACGATTTATATCAATATATATTGCGGTCACACCCCAAGTACTTCTCCCTATACTTAAATTTTCTCTTTATTTTGTTGTTTTAGCTTTACTTGTGACAAACCCCCATTAATATTTGGCACTTTGGGTGTCACCCCTTTTAATTTGCTATGCATTCACTCGTTAAAATCTTTAGCTACGATTAGCTTTAACACATTTGCGCTTAACCACTAATTTTCACGCCCACTCCCCTTGGGACTCGACCCCAACCTTTGGTTGGGTTATTATACTATTGCACGATCGTAGAAACTTGCATCGAAATTTGTGTTGTTGATTACGCAAACATCAAAATGGTGCCGCTGTTGGGGAGTGATGTTATGTGAAAGTTTTTGGTTTAAGTCAAATTCTGCTTTCAATAATCGTAGATTACTAACCTTGTTTTTAGTTTTGTTTTTCGTTAAATGTGTTGGAATATGTAGGTTCCCTTGAGCATGGCTGAGGGAAATAGTGGCAACTTGGCTGAGATGAAGCAAGAAGTCGAGAGAGACTTCACATTACCCGCACTGGTAACTCAGTTGCACGAGTTGGCCACCAAAATAACAGAGGTGGAAAATTAGTGCAAGAGTCAAGGGAGGTACATACCTCCTCATGAGAGGAAGCAGTCTAGTGGCAGGGAAAACAATCGTGTCGAGGAGACACTCCAAATCATTCTCCAAAAGATCACCGATCAAGATCAATTATTGGAAGATATGAAGAAGAGTATTGAAGTGTTGAATCAAATAGTTGGCTCTCATTCTAGATCGATCCAGCTAATCAGGACACTCCTGAATTATGCGGTGCCTTCTCTTCACTCAAACGAACTATTGGGGTTACCTAGTAACATTAGGGCCAACCCAACTAATGGGGAGTGAGTAAGGTCTCGTGTCGATCCACGACGTTAAATAAGGCGCTTCTTGGGAGGTAACCCAAGGTTTTAATTGCATAAATTTTCTTTTATAAATAATAGTGTGTTAGTGGTACATGTTTGAATGAGGAAAGTGGTGAAATATACAGTTTGGTGAGAGAATGGCCAGGCGAAGGACCGTCGAACAAGTCGGCGTGTTCGACCTGACTCGCCGTTTGTCTCAACTCA